TACTCCATTATTGAACTCGTTCACTTCTCTCCGACGTAACGCGCGTGGTGGGTGGGTTCTCGGTTCTCTTCCGTTCGGTGGTCGTTTCTCATCGGGTGTAACAATGACGTGAGTATCAAAATCTATTCATATTTCGAACATCTGAATCCCTATTTTATTTTCGTCGCAAACATGATTTAATGTAACGTTTCGTCTAAATGTATTTGATAATATTTTATATCTAAAACGTATTCAATTCTATACTTGTTAATTCCTGTTCGTTGAACCATATTTCGCATGTGTGCATTTAATTATTATAATATTCCTTTCGTATTCTCGATGCTTCAGGTCGAAAGTGTCGCGCGACACTCTTTACGAGTGCGTAAACGGTGTGATTCAGAATTCTCAGGACAAAAAGAGAAAATTCTTGGAAACCGTGGAGCTCCAAATCGGTTTGAAGAACTACGATCCGCAAAAGGACAAACGTTTCTCAGGCACTGTCAAGTACGTTTTTACCTGACTCCGAGGATACTTTTCGGTTTTTAATGGACTCGCTTTTGCATTTCACTAACATCCGAAAAGTTTGCCTCGTGCTCGTTCAGGAAGCTGGGCTTAACCCGGCGGACCTTCACCCAGGGTCTTAAATAAATTGGGGAGGTATTGTACCGTTAGTTTTCTTCCAGGATCATGAATCATGATCCTGACGGTAAGTCTATGCTCAATCATGATAATTAATTATCGAAACCAATGTTCAATGATGACGAAATATTTTGCATGTATTATCTGAACAACCAATGTGGTCACTTAATGTTACTGAGAACATTGACTTTGATAATTTATTTTTATAAGATCAGGGAAATTATTTTGTAATTTGTTTACATCGTATCATAGCAATGTGAACGTATGTATTTGGAAACCATTGATTTTTTAATTATTCGCGTCGTATTTATGTATTAAAGGCTAAAGAATATTCCAAGACCGAAGATGCAGGTTTGCGTTTTGGGTGACCAGCAGCATTGCGATGAAGCTAAAGCTAACAATATCCCATATATGGACGCAGAAGCATTGAAAAAATTGAATAAGAACAAGAAGCTCGTAAAGAAACTAGGTAATTCGAAGCTCTTTTTATTTCCCTACTTTCGATCTTCCAAAAAGCACCATTGTTTCTATTTCAATTTCGAGCAGTGGACGTCGAATGGAAGAAGATTAATTTCTTCACTAGGTGTGGACGTTGTACTTTATTACTTCGTACCTCAATCCGTGTCGAGACACTTTCTAAATAACACGTTATACAAGTTTTACTGTTTTTACGTCGAGTTTTAATTCAATCTCGTTCTTGCAGCTAAGAAATATGACGCCTTTCTGGCTAGCGAATCGCTGATCAAGCAGATTCCACGTATTCTCGGTCCTGGTTTGAACAAGGCCGGTAAATTCCCTGGTCTTCTTTCCCATCAGGAATCGATGGTAGGAAAAATTGATGAAGTGAAGGCAACGATTAAGTTCCAAATGAAGAAGGTACGTCCCGTTTCCTATTTGTTGTAATCATAAATAGCTTCATAATCCACGGCGCGTAAATGTTAATTGAAAAATTTTTTTCTCCAGGTGCTGTGTCTATCAGTGGCCGTGGGACACGTTGAAATGACTCCGGACGAATTGGTTCAAAATGTACATCTTTCGATCAACTTTTTGGTTTCGCTATTGAAGAAACACTGGCAAAACGTTCGTTCTCTACACATTAAATCGTCTATGGGACCACCTCAAAGACTATACTAAGTCAATTAGTACAAATATGTTTGTATGTGATGGAATAAAGCGAAGAAAAAATAAATTGCATTTATATTTATTACACGATAATTCCCTCTACTTAAGTTTTAATCACATTTTTAATTAATACGAAAAATTTGAATTTTCGAAGGGATGTGGAATGAAGAACAGAATTTTGTACTTAAACCTTTATTTAATTTAATTTAATAGAGATTAAAAATGTTTCGTTATACGAAACGCGTATAGAAAAATATAGCCAGCGCTTTAAAAACAGAAATATACGCTTTATATTAATAATCGATCACAATATTTATTTCTCGTGTCAGTTTCCTAATTGTGCGTCGTAATTGACCGTAAAATATTGTTCGTTCGAAACAAGCAACTTTCAAGACTAATCACAATGCCCGGTAACAAGTATTACAATAATAATAATTTAGATTTCCCCTGGTTCTTACGTAGATTTGTTATAAATTTATTGAATCGGTGCAAAATTGTAGACCGGATATTTAGGCGCAAAACGATTCGATATACCGAAAATGTGGTCGGATTCGCCCCGTTCCCAAAGGCTTCTGGCACCGTTGGTCGACTCCTCGTACGAAGGTGGTGCTGGTAAATATAAAGTTACATTTATTTCAAATAAAAATTCGCAGTCTAATAATTAATTAAAGTTATCTTCCTTTGGCAAACAGGTGGAGAATTGTGCAACTTACGCAAATTGGGGTATAAATTGTTTACGGGTGACCCGTCAGGGCCTGAGACTGGAATGCCAGAGGCGGACCAGCCGATTTGCGGCTTCGTTGGAGATACCTCGGCCGGTGGAGCGCTTGGTGTTTGGTAACTCACCAATGGAACAGTGCCCACAAATATCAGACTATTCTTCGACAAATTTCGATGATACCTGATAATAAAGAGCCTCAGTTAATGCTGCACAATTTAGTACAATTTCTACTGGACGATTCGCTGGTCTGCTACAATTTGTTGCTTTAAATATTATTATTATACTGACCATCCTGAGACGCAGGCAACGACTTTAAGATTGTATTCCAGGTCGATTATCCCGCAGTTGGCGAGATTCGATGGAGGCAATGGTGGAATATCGAGCTTCTGTTCATAATCAGCAGCCGCTCCACCCTCAACTGGTCCCTTCCCGACCTCCGCTATCACGATTTCTTCCGTTTTGGTATCGCTGGTCGGCGTGGTCGCCCGAAAAGTCACGATCTAGACTTCACGATCCATCGTTATCGTCGAAAGAATTTCGCGTATTGGCGTAACTAGTTGCACTCATTTCTAAATTAGTAATATGGATCTTTGGGTGGGCAGACACACCTGAAGCCCTTTCTAGTTACGACAATACTTTGGCATAAAAGAAGCAACGTTTCTTCAATGATAATAGTAAGATTATTGAACCGACATTGTACCTTACACAAAATCAGTTTCACAGTCTCTACGGTGACTCCGGATGAATTTTCGACATTTACTTTTACAGGCATTGATTGCCCTGGCACGTATCCTCTGACCGGCAGCGAATAGTTGACAGTCAATGGCGGTGATCCGCAGCATAAGCAGCAGAAAGTCTTACTCATTTCCTCCTGTATTTTCTCCTGTGAAAAGCGTACAATAAAAATAAGTAGTGGAATAAAATAGATTCTCTAGAATTACTCTTCTATCACGTGGACAATGAATAAAATTGATTTTTGACAAGGACGAGTTCTAGAAGTCGTACCGAGGCTCTTGGTTCTTGATTAAGGTCGAGAGGCGAGATCACTGTAAATGGGCTCTTTGCTTCTTGATCGAATTTCCACGGACGATCCAATGTCGCCTTGACGGTGTATCGAACGTGCCCGAAGTCCGATTCGAAGCTGCTGGGTAAATTCGTTGGTAAAACGCATTGGAATGGGAATGTGTGTTCGCCGCTTTGTATCTCTATCTCGCCGCCTACAACAGAAATATTTTACTGCCTAATTTTGTAGAATTTACGAACTCTATGCCAGAATTCAGAGTTCTTAAAAATCCTTTAAAAAATGATAATCAAAATCAGAATACCCGACTAGTTCAAACTGGATGGACACTTTAATTAATGGAAGCTATGGAGG